GAAATTGTAGAGAGAAACAAGCCCTATAACATAGTATACAACATTTCAATGAACAGTGCTTTCCATAAAATCAATAAAATGAAAAATATACGAAATAATATACATGTACTGATTTCTTTCGAAAATCGACATCTATGAAACTATGAATCCTTCCTGGACACAAACGGTACATTGTGAGACAGGAAATTGTAGAGAGAAACAAGCCCTATAACATAGGATACAACATTTTAATGAACAGTGCCTTCCATAAAATCTTAGATTTCTTGGTATTTTTTGGTTGAGTAACCTTTTTTATATAATTAAATTTGTAATAGTATTGGCTAGATGTTTAGGAAAATCCTATATAACCTGTAAAGTTTATCCTACAGACAGAAATCTACATTATCGAAAGATAAACAAGTATTTTTAAAGTAAACAACAACTGTAATTTCCAAAGTAAGAAGCATTTTAATAAGATTTTATCTTTTCACAATTTATAAGAATATGATTGACATTTTATCTAACCGGGGAGATTTTTTTATCTTGAAATATATAATGAAATTTTCTAAAAAAAATCGTTTTTAAACACTTTCAACAGCAGAACTGTTTCATGTCCAATTTCTAAAGAATAATTGATTTAAAAGGATCTACCAGTTCTACTTTCATTGTTGCGAATTAATAAATTATCAGGATGCGTTTATGTTACTATGCCATATAGGTATGAGTTTTTTGTTTTTTGTAAATAATAAATAGCAGAGAGAAACTAATAACTAAAGTGAGAGGGTTTGTGGAATAGGGCATTTCGTAAACAAGTTTATTTTGTCACCGCGCATCCTAGACGCGCATAGCGTTTTTTTTTTCAACTTTGCAAGTTAAACATTTGACAGGATTAATTAGATTGTCAGTAGCTTTTTCTATTTCTTAGCTCTAGAAGGAGATAACGAAAATCTGTTGATAAACGGAGCAAATCGGAGTAATACATTGTTTTTGACTGAATGTGCCTGTTCTTTTAGCTTGTCAGAAGAGAAGATTATTGTCATTATTGATTATTTCAGATTCCACGATTATTCGGCATTTTTGTAATTTTTGTTTTGTGGTTGAGACCCAGACAAAACGTTTCCTTTAAAGGTAAGTTTTATCTCGGTAATGATTTTAACATGCCTAATAGTAATAGTGAGTGCACATAATAATCGTACATTGCTAATTTATTTTTTTTAATTTAAAACATCACATTCTTTTCTGATACCTATGGAACGACTAGGTATTATACCTGGTATTATTTCCAGTAATTCAAATTATTTTCTTTAACTGCTAGGTTCTTGTTATAGAATAAAGACTATTAAAAACATTGAATACCTACGGGATACCTACTGATACTCTGTGCGGGCTCCCAACCGTGCTTCCCTGTTCACTCCCAATCAAGTTAGATAAAAAAATACTGAAGATTGCAGCCTTGAGTTGGAGTATGGCAAGGAGTATGGAGTTAAATAAATTATTATGTTCCTACACAGTATTTTATTTATAGGTTTTAATGCTTTAAGGTCTAATAATAAATTTTCGTTGTCAACAAAATAATCTAAAAAAACTACGAAGATTTCTTATTATAAACTTGAAAGATTAAGATTCGGTTCAAATATACAAATTTTAAATTTTTGGCGCCAGTATATAGGTATGAATGCAACCTACTATATCGATAATGCGCTCATAGTTCGGGTTAGACGCCAAAGGCCGCGCCACTAACACAGTCTTCAAAAATTAACGTTGATCGGTCTCTTTCACTTTAGTTATTAGTGTTCTCTCTGATAAATAGCACTGACATTAAGACGTCATTTAGATAAATCGCGATTTTTTAACGATGAAATAGTAAATTATCAACCAGCAAGTCAGATTTTAAAGAAAAATAGTTCAGGAAAATCCTCCGCAAGTACTTGGGCCTACAACATCCTGAGCAATACACTGGCCATTGTATGAGATCATCCGCTACATTACTGGCAAATGCAGGAGTGAACATGACAACGTTAAAAAGACACGGAGGATGGCAATCTGCAACGGTTGCGGAAGGATATATCGAAGGGTCCATCAACATTAAAATAGAGATTGCGAAAAAGATTCAAGGTGCTGTAAGTGTTCCAGAACGAGCCGTTGTAATGACAGAGCCTATTTCAAGCAGTGGAGGGACAGCATCTGGAGGCATACAAGGTTTTTCAATTTCTGAATCTACAAAAAAAATAATTTTCATTTAATGTTAATTTAAATAAATAATTGTGTGTTATAACTTCAAAAAGTCACGCGTGTGTTATTATTAATTTTATATGCATGTATACATGTGATTAATGTCTATATAGTAGTGGCTGTTGGATAAATATTTTTTTTTATTATTTTCCATTGCTTTAGTGATGATTCTTTTCTTCTATTGACAAATTACCATGACTATTTTTAAGAAAATTCCTTCTTGTTTAACGTTAGGATATTAATAAACATGTAAACTTGCTTTTTCTGAACGCTGATACTGTTGTATACATACGTACAAGCGTAGGGGTCAAAAATACCCATTGTAATAACATCTTTTACGTCAGACACTATTCTAAACAGTATCAGATGCCGGCGTATATCGTCCTATCCGGCAAAATTCAAACAAATCCATAAAAATAGCCTTTAAAATTGCTATAAAACTTGAATCGGAAGCCATGCGAGAAATGTTTTGGATAACATTGTTAGTCACGAGGGTATATACAGGGTGGTGGCATCATAGAAAATCCCATGAAAGTTGAAACTGTCCAAATATTGGCTTCCCTGTTAATTTTACAGCAAAGTCGTAAATAAATAGTAAAAAATTTGAGCAATTTTGGACTAGAAAATTTTAAGCAATTTAAAAAAAAATGCATCTGGTTTTAAATTAAAATTGAACAGGTAAGAATACAAAATCAGGCAAATCTCCACTTACTTAAGTTAGCAACCAACGACTTAAGAATAAATTATTATGTCTATTGGATGCGATTTTTTTAAAATAAATTGAAAATATTGTAGCGTGAGAAGAGAGAAAAATAAATTAAAACACAAACGGGGACTATCAAAAACAAAAAGGAATGTATAACTGTTATAGAATTGCGTAACGGGAAAAGAAAATGGTTTTGCCATGGCGGCGTGTTAAGTTTAATCTGCCACACGATAGAAAACATAAAAAATAATTAGTTATTAACAATTTGTTCCATTTCAAAAATTATTTTAGATATTTCTAACCAATTTTCTTCGATTTCATGGAGTAGCCAATAGTAATAACAAAAACTCCTCAATTCTATTTTATAGGTTTTAATCAATCTAAAAACTTTATTAAGAGAATGCACACAACCATTACTTGTAGCGATTTTTACCAAAAGAGTTTTTTTACGTAAAAAACGTCGTAAATGTATATTTTTTTACTCAGTAGTTTTATACAGGTACAGACAAAAAGTTATTACTTTTCAAACCGGTTAAAAAATATGCAAGTGGCGCTCTCTACAAGTAGGAGTCATAATGACATCAAAATCAGATTTCTCATGTCAAAAAACTCCCAGTCACCAATTTTCATCCAAATGGACATAGTAAAATACCTTTCCACCATGCGGACCTTCCAAGAAAAGATGGCGTCTCAACGCATGTTACTCCATGGAAAATGGTTCCTTAACTGTCCTCGTACTCATCCCAGTACGTCCACACACCCATCTACAGCTCCTGTCCTCTAAAATAAATAGTTGTAGAAGAGAACCTTACACCTAGGAAAATGTCTCTTACCCAACCAACAAAGATATCCCTTTTCCAAGGTTTTCCCCGGAATTCCAACTACACAGGCCAAGCTCATTTTCTTGCCAATCGGTCTTCTCGACCCTCAATGAATTCCAAGATCGTAATTCTACTGAATAATCCCAATACGGAACGGCGACAAGCCAAAATTTCACTAGAATTTCTTTTTGTCGGCAGAGATCAGAAGGCTTCCCCTGCTTTCACCAAAACGGTTCAAAGTCGAAAAAGGACGCGTGTTTGCAAAATCCGCAAAAGACGCTGGACTCCAAGATACCAACCCAAAGTCCAACACTGGCAACCAGTAAAACAAAAGACCCAAAATAAAATTTGACATACAGTTTTATTTAATGCATACGAATTGGGTGAAACATTTTATTACATCATAATAAACATATTATAATCTATATATGAACATAATATCTTCGGAAAATTATTAATACGTTTTCCGATCATATATAAAAAAACCGTTTAAAAAGATCGAAAACCTAATTTACAAAGATCCATCTGTCCAACTTCAACGCCGGTGTCACACGATCAGCTGACAAACAATTGAAACGTCAGTCTGTAAATCGTAATATAAACAAGATGAAATTTAGGGAAAAATCAACTATAATCAGGTAAAACCAATTGATTACACACAGGAAAAATACATAATAAAATCCTTAACCCATATGTATATTGCAGACCCAACATTCCCACTTGTTGCGTTGAAAACAGACAAAAGATAATCACATCAAGTCTATGTTCAAGAATCCAATATGCCAAGAAAATTATCCTAACACAAGCATAAGTCTAAATAAAGAATTGGCAACCACTGTAGAAAGAAAGGTAGGTTTTAAACAGACAAATTGATATTTTATTAATGAGGTTTTATATTACAGTTATCGGAGACAACTCCATCCCAAGAAATTGTTGTGGTGAAGAGACTTAATAGATAAGATATTATTAGAAGTTATATGTACAGTTAAGAAGTTAGCTAATTAAACGTTATTATTCAAGTTATTCAAGTAAGTTTTAGTTATTCCTAAAAATAAGCAAAATAAGTAAAATAAGTTACGGTGAAATTTTAAACCGTAACACTATATGTGGACTACTTCCGAATCTAAAAGGACCGTTCTCAAAAAAAATGAAAAGTTCTTGCGGTATTAATGCAAAATATAATTCTATACGGCGCTCCTGTATAGGTCGAGGCACTAAAATTCCAACGGACGAAAAATATATTGCTTTCCACACAGAGAAAAATGGTCCTAAGGATCTGTTCAGCGTATCGTACGAGATCAACAGATACCGTGTTGGTTATAGCTAGGCTGATCCCGCTGCATTTAGCAGCTGAGGAAAAGCGAGAGTTATATGTCAAAGCAGAGATTAACGATGATGTGAAAAACCATCAACGACGAGGTACCTATCAAAAATGGCAAGAGGAGTGGGATACATCCGACAAGGAAAGGTGGACTAGAAAGTTAATACACAATGTGGAGGACTGGACAAGTAGGAAACACGGAGACGTGGACTATTACATTACGCAGTTTCTCTCCGGGCATGGAGTCTTCATGGACTTCTTGCACAGAATAAAGAAAATACCAAATGGCAACTGCATGTACTGCGACGAAATCGACGATGCCGAGCACACGTTGTTCTGCTGTCCAAGATGGGAAAACGGAAAATCTGCCTGCAACTTCGGACACCTTGATTATGAAAATGACCAAAACTAGCAAAATATGGGGAAAGGTAGGGGCATTTATGAAAGAAATAACAATAGAGAAAGGAAAAGATGAAAAGGCAAGAAATGTAGAAGTATTCTAAAAATAAATAGAATAGAATATAGATAAAAAATAACATAGATAAGATATAAACCCCAAGATCACGTACGAATCCGAAGTAATGCCATGCGGCGGTTCCGGGTAAGGGGAGAGGCTGACTCCCCGGAGGTGGATATATTGCATTATTGGAAGTTATTTACAGTTACTGATAAACAGTTAAACTAGATTTAAAGGTTATTATAATCTGCGGGGTATTTAGGCGTACGTCTTTCACTTAACATTGCACATATCTGAGATGCTGTTATATGATCGTTTATGCGCTTTATTTGTTTGTTGTTCTTGATTCATTTAGAGCGTGCTAGCGGTTTTATTGAGCCATAAATTATGGAATGTCAAACGGGCGTAGTACATAGTAACGTACAACGCATGGTTTAGGACACATGCATGATGGATTTTTCAAATCTAACAAGCAACAGAAGAAGATTGAAATTTTAAATTTTTTAGTTATTTTATTATTACTGAAAGTTTGGCCAATTTTTTTTTTCAAACGTCACAAGAGTATTAATTTTTGCGACGTGATTGACAATATAAAAAAGTCATTTTAACGCCTAGGCATAAAAGTGCCTTACTTTAAGTACAAAAGTAGAAAAATATATTATTAAAATGAACAAGAAAGAAATAGTGAGGGAAATGTATAAAAAAGAAGAGAAAGATTAAACGGCTCAGCCCTTATTTCTTTCTTGTTCATATTGGTACCACGGCTAAGGGTATTGCGGCGGGTTGCTGTTGGCTACCTCCGCGGCTGTTCTGGACGAAGCCCACAATTCTGGGCGACTCTGGTTCTTGCCTGCAAATTGGGACTTTAGGCTCCCGTTTGCTCCTTTCATTTTCCATCATTTATTTTCGTTTCTTCATCATTTTTTTTTCATCTCCTGGGTTGCACACGGTGCCTCGTTGCATCGCTTGCTTCCTGGTTTTTTGTGTTATGGGATCGGTTTCATCGCTTCCTGTTTCCTTACCGTACTGATGAAGCCTGAAGCCTACCTCCGCGGCTGTTCTGGACGAAGCCCACAATTCTGGGCGACTCTGGTTCTTGCCTGCAAATTGGGACTTTAGGCTCCCGTTTGCTCCTTTTATTTTCCATCATTTATTTTCGTTTCTTCATCATTTTTTTTTCATCACCTGAGTTGCACACGGTGCCTCGTTGCATCGTTTGCTTCCTGGTTTTTTGTGTTATGGGATCGGTTTCATCGCTTCCTGTTTCCTTACCGTACTGATGAAGCCTGAAGGCAGTTAAATCAGTGTGCACTAGTGTAGGTGTGGTTGTGTGAGTGTGTAAGCATGCATGTCTGTACTGGTGTACACTGGGTATACGGTTACGAGTTGTTGAGGGCTGAGCCGTTTAATCTTTTTCTTCTTTTTTATACATTTCCCTCACTATTTCTTTCTTGTTCATATTGGTACCACGGCTAAGGGTATTGCGGCGGGTTGCTGTTGGCTACCTCCGCGGCTGTTCTGGACGAAGCCCACAATTCTGGGCGACTCTGGTTCTTGCCCGCAAATTGGGACTTTAGGCTCCCGTTTGCTCCTTTTATTTTCCATCATTTATTTTCGTTTCTTCATCATTTTTTTTCATCTCCTGGGTTGCACACGGTGCCTCGTTGCATCGTGTGCTTCCTGGTTTTTGTGTTATGGGATCGGTTTCATCGCTTCCTGTTTCCTTACCGTACTGATGAAGCCTGAAGGCAGTTACATCAGTGTGCACTAGTGTAGGTGTGGTTGTGTGAGTGTGTAAGCATGCATGTCTGTACTGGTGTACACTGGGTATACGGTTACGAGTTGTTGAGGGCTGAGCCGTTTAATCTTTTTCTTCTTTTTTTATACATTTCCCTCACTATTTCTTTCTTGTTCATATTGGTACCACGGCTAAGGGTATTGCGGCGGGTTGCTGTTGGCTACCTCCGCGGCTGTTCTGGACGAAGCCCACAATTCTGGGCGACTCTGGTTCTTGCCCGCAAATTGGGACTTTAGGCTCCCGTTTGCTCCTTTTATTTTCCATCATTTATTTTCGTTTCTTCATCATTTTTTTTTCATCTCCTGGGTTGCACACGGTGCCTCGTTGCATCGTGTGCTTCCTGGTTTTTTGTGTTATGGGATCGGTTTCATCGCTTCCTGTTTCCTTACCGTACTGATGAAGCCTGAAGGCAGTTACATCAGTGTGCACTAGTGTAGGTGTGGTTGTGTGAGTGTGTGAGCATGCATGTCTGTACTGGTGTACACTGGGTATACGGTTACGAGTTGTTGAGGGCTGAGCCGTTTAATCTTTTTCTTCTTTTTTATACATTTCCCTCACTATTTCTTTCTTGTTCATATTGGTACCACGGCTAAGGGTATTGCGGCGGGTTGCTGTTGGCTACCTCCGCGGCTGTTCTGGACGAAGCCCACAATTCTGGGCGACTCTGGTTCTTGCCTGCAAATTGGGACTTTAGGCTCCCGTTTGCTCCTTTTATTTTCCATCATTTATTTTCGTTTCTTCATCATTTTTTTTTTCATCTCCTGGGTTGCACACGGTGCCTCGTTGCATCGTTTACTTCCTGGTTTTTTGTGTTATGGGATCGGTTTCATCGCTTCCTGATTCCTTACCGTACTGATGAAGCCTGAAGGCAGTTAAATCAGTGTGCACTAGTGTAGGTGTGGTTGTGTGAGTATGTGAGTGTGCGTGTCTGCACTGGTGTACACTGGTGTATACGGTTACGAGTTGTTGGGGGCTAAGCCGTTTAATCTTTTTCTTCTATATTATTACACTGACATAATAGTTATTTTTTATACCTACAAGACGATAATGCAATTTTATCGTCGTGTATAATACAATATTTTTTCCATAGCGAGTTACGTTTTAAAAAATATTCAGAAATTATTATTTCAAGGAATTTATTACGAGTAGAAAAAATATTGTGCTGGGTTGGCGTTGGTTTCTATGTAATTTGACAAATAAATAAAGCTGTCTCTTTAGTTGTCAGTTTTGAGTCAATATTTTCTAATTCTCTTTCGTATCGATTGCTGATCGAATTGGAGCCAGAAATGGCTCAAAACGAAATAAGTAAATTACCAACAGATATTCAGGCTGAGGCGACAAACGCCATATCCAAACTACTTCCATTTAAATCCCGAAATAACTTATGAAAAGGAATGCAAAAATTTTCAAAAATGGAAACAATTAAAAAAGGTGCGAGAAGAAATGAAGTTTTTAACCTATCCTCGCTGTTAAAGTATCATTTAATCTACCCTTGGGGTTAAAGTACTATTTTATCTACTATTTTTGATAGATATAAGGCAATTTTAACAGCTGCTATGAAAACAAAATTATTGTTAGTGTATTTTCACAAAATCGTAAATATTTCAAGAACCGTAAGATTAAAGTGCGGTAAACCTTAATCAAATTTACCTTTATTTTAATCGTAGAAACTAAAAATGTAAAATATACAGGGTATTGCATTTAAAAAAATACAACTTTGATATTTTTTTTTTTATTCGGGACACTGTAACTTTAAAAAATAACTGTATAGAGTATTCTATAGAGTTTCGAATTCGCCAAAAATCTCCGTCCGCCAATTTGACGTATAACAGTATCGTTATCGTGCACGTGCTAACGGTGCGCAATAAAACTTTTTAATGACGTATATATATACGTCACAAACGCTTCGGCTTAAACGACGCTTAGGCCTGGTTCCGACGCGAAACAATAACCTTACGCGATACGCCGACGACCGTGTCGTAAAATCTTTAAGGCCGAATAAATTTCTTAACACCGATCTCGCCTTGTTACACTAAGTGCCTTTCGACACGATACGATGTGTCTGAATCTCAAAAGATTGATAAATGTAAGAAGAATGCGCCATGTAAGGCGTAGGTTTTGGACCTGTAACCTCACATGAACGGAGAATTTTATGTATTGACGCTCTGCCTGTTTTGCATTAAGATCTGTTTCTAAGGAGCTTAACTTGTCAGTGGCTAGAACTGTTTATTATGCGCTTTTTGAGTCGCACCTCAGGTATGCCCTTCCATTCTCGGGTACGTGTTGTGCGACTCAATTTGACCGTATTTTCAAGCTCCAGAAGAGAGCTGTTCGATATTCACTGGGACTAAACAGCAGAACTCATTGCCAGGACGTTTTTAAAAAATTAAAGATATTAACTCTTCCTTCCTTATTTATATTTGTGAATCCGTTTGCCTAATACGTAAGCATGTATCAGCTTCTCAAGAAAGGCCATCTCACACTTATCCACTCAGGAACGCGGAGCAAGATCTATATCTACCTACCCCACGTTTAGAATTAGTTAAAAGTTCAATATTATACAACTCGAAAAAAATGCACAATCACCTGCTATTTCAAATCAAATCCATAACATCATTTTCTTCATTTCGCAAAGCATTGAAATCTTATTTACTGGATAAGGATTTCTACGCCGTGAATGACTTATATTTTGATAATCGAATTTGATCTTGTAAACACTGGTCTAATATTTGCTATTACTATATTTACTATAAACTTACTAAATATTTTTGAATCTTATTTTTATTTGTTTATTCTTTGACATTGTAAACATTTATAAATGTTTATTTTAAACAATAAGACTGATAATGTGAATTGTATACTTGTTTTGTATTCTCTTTTTGTTTGTTTACTTTACCTTTGTCTACAAATTGTAAAATTTTTTAACAATAAAGCCAGTTATTTATTTATTATCGAGACTTCAATTTAGACCTTGTAGTCTAAGAGCTAGCAACGTTTTCGAGAACGTAATTTAAGAAACTGATCTAATATATCCTTTGCTATGCTCTCTGGAACAGCGTGCGAGTCGTCTGGCTGCCGATAGACGTTGCGTTTTCTACTGCGCATTCAAAGAAGATCAAGAAGCAAGAAGATGAGTAAAAGATAAATCAAAGAGACAACTTTTTTAAAATACTTATTTTCCAGGCGTTGCTAGCTCTCGTACTATTGTGTTGATATGAAATTAGGAAAAAATCATGGAAAATACATACGTTACGAAAAAAGGCCACCTTAAAATTTTGATGTATTTCAAAATCTAATAGATTTTGTTCTAGTGGGCCGATTTTGATGAATTTTTAAGCAATATGTAGCTAAATTATTTGACTTTTTAGTATCTCTTCTAAATTAAAAATGAAAGTTCTCATATGTCAATTATACGAGGCAAAAAAAAAAGGTTGATATTTTTATATACTGGTGAAAGTTTGAAAACCCTGTCGAATATACATACCGCCATTACTGGTAGTATTTGACACGCATCAGAAGATGGTCACGCAAGGCGTTTTCTTTCATGAGCTTTTCTGTGACTGAAAAGCCCGATAGGTGATGTTATCTGTCTACCGCACTCCAGACATTCAAAAATCTCATTGCTTTGTTACCTCTTTACTTTTTGGTTGTCGCTCTTAACTGACTTTACAATTCTTCTCCATTCCGTTCTATTGTGAGCTGCCTCTTCCCACTCATTCTGCTTGTTAATTCCCTTTAAGTTTTCTTGGAAAATATCCTTGAACCTTTTGAGTTGTCCACCCGGCCTCCTCTTACCGTCTACAAGCTCACCGTAAAGCAGAGATTTTGGTATGCGGTTTTCTTGCATTCTGCATACGTAACCAGCCCATCTTAAGCGGGACTTTGTAATCATGACTTCAATACTCTCGCAGTTAGCTTTTTCAAGGACCGATACGTTTGAGACATGATGGAACCATTTTATTCTTAAGAGTTGTCTAAGATGTCTCTGTGGCATCTTGTTTAATGCGTTCATGTGTCGGCGGTACGGCACGCAGGTTTCGCTTCCATATAACGTGGTAGGAATTATTATCGCTCGGTCCACCGCAAGTTTCGTTTTTGTGCTCAAGTCATGATTGTAGAAAACCCTGTCTTTTAATTTCCAGAATGCTCTTGAGGCGCTGCTAATCCTGTGCTGAATTTCAGAGTCGATATTGGCCTTTTCCGAAATCAAACTGCCGAGGTAATTGAATCCCGCTACATATTCCAACAGCTCATCCCTGATTTTTATAGCATTGTTGTGATCTTCCGGGGAAGTGCACATGATTTTAGTTTATCGAAGTCCCAAGGCCTCGTATGCCCATGTATATGTGTTCAACATTTCTTGCAATTGCTGTAACGTATTTGCAACTAGAGCACAGTCATCAGCGTATTGAAGTTCTGTGATGAATTTTGTACGTGTTTTTGCCCTGAGTCTTTTTATGTTGAACAGACCGCCGCACGGTGGGGTATTAGCATGAAAAAGGTGATCGAAATTCGAAAAAGCAAATGTGTTTAAGATTTCCCAAAAAAGGATAAATGATAATTTAAATCATCTCTGCCATGAATGACTTTGCTATGGGTGTGTTTAGTTGCATTCATTTGTTTCAACGAAACGTCAAAGTTGTTACTTCTCACAGATAAGAGGTAAATGGCTAAATTTTATGTTTAAAATTATAAATTATTGTTGTTCTTGTGCTCTTTTTACGTTTATATTATTGTTTTGATTGAAAATGGCTCAGCAAGCTGCAGGTATGTATTCTACAAAATCGTATTATTTATTTTGATATTCTCTATACTAACGATTTTTTTGCAACTAAAAGTTAGGCGTTCAGAATATTTAATTAAATTTGTGACATTTTTATTATACTTAGAGATTCAGTTGCGCATTTCGAAGAATTCAGCATATTGTCTATATACGTTTTACTTAGTAAACATTAGGCTTTCGTACAGTAAAATAAAATACTGCGACTTTTTGCGACTTTGCTGATAAAATGAGAAAAACATTCTTGGTTTCCTCTAATTTGCAAATCAGTGATATACTAATGCGAGGTGTAAACCGCGATGGCATTGTTGTGTACAAAGCGATCGCATTAGTACCCTTAGCAGTATAGCACAATTTGGCATTAGTAGCGGCTTTAGTGGTATGGGCATTGGTCGCGGATCAGTCGTAGCATTAGTAGTATTAGTTGCGATATCACTACTGGTATTAGTGGCATTGATCGTGGAAACACTGGAACAGTGATTTTTCTTCCTTTTTTTTAGAATCGACCAATTATCTTTTATTTTGTTCATATTATTTCCTCTTTAATTGAAAATAGCAATAATTGATATCAGGTCTACATAAAAAGATTTCCATTAACTATCTGTGTCAAATACCCCACTGTGCGCCGTCGCGTCGTATCTGTATCTAATGCCCAAACCTCTCTCCTGCAGTTTGCTGTCCACTATAATTGCCCAAAGTGCATCTCTGTTCACAGAGTCGAAGGCTTTTGTTAGATCGATGAATGCAACGTAAAGTTTAGACTGCTGCTCTTTTACTTTTTCCTGTAGTTGCCGGATGGAGAATATGGAATCGGCGGTTGGTGCGAAAACCCGTTTGCGATTCTGGGAGGATTTTTTCTATATGTGGGTGCAGGCGGTTTGGCATAATTTTTGCAAGAATTTTTCCTCCGATAGCCAGTAGTGAAATTCCTCGGTAGTTTCCGCAGTCTGATGCACTTCCTTTGTTCTTAAATATATTCACTATACTTCGAATATAATAACAAAGCAAAGAATTTAAAAATGATTTTGACACCTAGGTACATCCTTTCTCGATAGTTTGTTTTTTGGTTCATCCCCATATCTTTAATTTTGTTGGAGATATTGCCTTTTGAAGAAGACGATGCTTACGATTAATGATATGCTTACCAGTAATGCAATGTTCCTCTCCTAAATATCTGCTGAAGACTTGAATTGGGTCCTAAAACAAAAATTCAGTTTAACTTCATTTACTTCCTGCATAAACAGAAATTTGTAGATTTTATGGGACAAAAAATTTATGAAAAAAAAATAAATATTTATAATTTTTGTTATTTTAAGTTAATTATTTGTTTAATGTCATTTGAAATAACAAAATAAAACACTAATTCGCCATAAAGCAACAAAACACTACACTTTTGCACTTGAAGCGCGTTTTGCTAACCATGTTACCATCGTCGGCGGATGATTTTAAAATAAACTCCTAGTTTTCTTGAGTTTAGTTTTGAATCATCTGCTGATGCTAACATGGTTAACGAAACGCGAGTCCAGTGCAAAAGTAAAGAGTTTTGGTGTTTTGCGATGTATTAGTGTTTTATTTAATAATAAAGAACACTAAATAAAAATAACATATTTAACCTTCAATATAATTGATAATTAACATAATACAGGGTGTCATTGAAATGGTGTAAAAAAATCGGGGGGTGATAGTACTCCTAAAAATAGTAAAAAAAGTTCCTATAAGTATAGGGCGGAAAATGCATATTAAGGGAGTTAGGGGCACTGAAAGGGTGAACTTAAAAAACGGTTGTTTTGAAATTGTAGGCTTATTGTAGTTATTTTTTTTTGCAACGTGGGTTCATTTTTTTGAAAACTACATACTTTCTCCTACAAAAAAGGTACTATTGTTGCACATCGCCCAGAGTGATGGTTTTCGAGAAAATTAAAGACAAAGAGTTTGCTCTGATAGGTTGCTAACTCAACATAAACTTATGAAAGTTATGGCGGTTCAAAACTAACCAAGTAGTTATTATAACCCCTATAAGTAGTTGTTCACCACATACGACACGGAGTATTGTAGCTAAACGATGAGATTTTTACAAATTGTAAGTTTGGGGTTCGTTGAAGGACTATTAGAGCTACAATTTAAAAATATTTTTACAAGATACAGAGTGTCCCAAATAAATAAAAAATATCAAAGTTTATTTTTTTAAATTGAACACCCTGTATATTATTACATTTTTAGTTTCTACGATTAAAATAAAGGTAAATTTGATTAAAGTTTATTATACTTAAACATTACGTTTTTGAAATATTTTCAATTTTGTGAAATTGCAGTAAAAATTTTAAAGCTTTATTTCTCCAAGGGTATCAATGTTTTTAATACTAAATATTTAATGAAGTTTATTTATTGATCAGTTATTGTGTTGCAATAATAAAAATAATACTACTTTATAGAGAGTGTCTAAAAATTTACTTTAAATAATTATTAACTTCAAACGGCAACAACTTCTTTAATTTAAATAGAATGCCCTGTATATTTTAGGAGAATCAGATGCACAATTAAATTGTCTATCAAATTGCATTATACCATTTTTTACCTATCCCTTCAAGTTTTAGTAGAAAATGCATTTTCTTATAATTTAGACCTCATTTATCAATATATCCATGGAATATTGACATTTTAGATTGTTTTTAAAGCAACAAATGTACAAAATGTACAGACTAGTAATATTATCGTTTTTAGCAAAACGATAATATTACTAGCCCATTTGTATGCAAAAGAAAACTATTTAAATCTTTATAAAAGAGTATACCATTAATTAAATATAACACCATTATTTGCGCCCATATACTAATTAATTACATACTTAATTGTGTTCGTTATTAAATTATTATAAATAAATGTGGATTTGAGTCAGAAATCAATATAATAATAAGTTATCAAATTAAAGTCTCTGTTGTTATAAATAAGCATTTATTAAAAAATGAAATATCATTTTTAAGGTGTTACTTTTTATCACACTGTCTAATGCCCATACAAAATTCAGTTTTTTAGTATTTGGAGCAATTATTATTAATCAACGCAGTCAGTTAATGTAGTTTGAATACTGGAATCATATTAATTGATCCTCTTTAACAAATATTTAAACAGTTTTTTTTTATTTTTTAATGAAATAAACGAATTATATCGACAATATTAGTATCTGTACTCTTTAAAAATTTGGGACATCTTTAAAAATAATCTAAAATGTCAATAGTCCATGGGTATATTGATAAATAAGTTCTAAATTACAAGAAAATGCATTTTCTACGGAAACTTAAAGAGATAGGTAAAAAATGGTATAATGTAATTTGATAGACAATTAAATTGTGCATCTGATTCTCGTAAAATATACAGGGTGTTCCATTTAAATTAAACAAGTTATTGCCGTTTGAAGCTAATAATTATTTAAAATAAATTTTTAGACACTCTGTATAAGGTAGTATTATTTTTATTATTGCAACACAACAACTGATCAGTAAATAAACTTCAGTAAATATTTAGTATTAAAAACTTTGATACCCTTGGAGAAATGAAGCCTTAAAATTTTTACTGCAATTTCACAAAATTGAAAATATTTCAAAAACGGTAACGTTTAAGTATAATAAACCTTAATCAAATTTACCTTTATTTTAATCGTAGAAACTAAAAATGTAATAATATACAGGGTGTTCCATTTAAAAAAATTCAACTTTGATATTTTTTACTTATTTGGGACACTCTGTATCTTGTAAAATTATTTTTAAATTGTACCTCTAATAGTCCTTCATCGAACCCAAAACTTACAATTTGTAAAAATCTCATCGTTTAGCTACAATATTCCGTGTCGTATGTGGTGAACAACCCTGTAAAAATAATTGGAAAATCAAAATTTCATGATTTTTAAAACATATTATTGCTTTAAAAACGAAATAACGGGAGATCCTCCAAGTTTCGATCCCTATAGTCCCAGCGCCATACTTATTTCGCCTGACCACGTCTTCCTCGAAATTTATTTTCCTGAAACGAAACGAAAAAAACCGACACCAACAACGTTCCTCTCCGAATCACGTACGCCTTCGTCCTGCTGTCTCTTTTCTCTTTTCCTTACGGTCCAAGGAACGTAAATTCTCGTTTGGAGCGATTTACGATCGCGAACGGGGGGAAAAAATAAAAACAGCGCCGCGGCGATGCACGCCGCGTTGCATTTCAAAGGACGACAAGCATAAATAACGTTGCAAGGGGCGGCAACCGTTGCTTTGCATCGAGAAAAATATGAAAACCGTATAATATGGCCGAGTTCCCCGTAAAAATACGCGAGACGCGGAGATAAAACGGGCTGATAAAAATCCGTTTACGTTGTTACCGCGATACACTGAAATGCACTGTTGTACAGGGTGTCCCACAAAGAATAGCTCACGGCTGTATCTCGGAAAGTATTAGTTGTAGGGTCTATGGAAAAAAAATATTTATAACCAAAGACATTATAAAGATAGACCGAACATCTCATTCATAAATACTCGTTGGTAGTGTATCAAACATTCGAATGTGTCAAACAAGGACAGAAGAGACAGAGAAGTCTAAAATTTCCGACCCCGGCAACTAGGCGCATTTGGGATTGTTCTAATGGCCAGTGGCGTAACGTTTTTTGGAACGAATTTAATTAGTAAAATAAAAGTAAAGTAATTAGTAAAATTTTTACTCCATATTAATACACTACATTCGTCAGATGAGTTTTGTTATAAGGTCTAATATAATAATACAATTAATATCCCACATATACTTATGTTGAAACGTTAGTAGTTTTCGAAAATCACTCCAACGTCGATTTTCAATTTAAACTTCCATATAAACTTTCAGTTACTTTTGAATATTTACAGGGTGACTCAGGCTTCCGAAACAGTTCTATATTAGGTTTGTGGTTGGTGACTTTTCTTTCAATTTTTTTTTCAGAATATGGAGGCATTTAGGCACATTTTAGACATTTTTGTAAACATAGGTGGCCGGAACATATTTTCAAACCAAAGTTGTAGATTTGCCATTAAATTTCCATTCCAGAAATACCTAGGTTTGCCACTTGTCCTTTTTTGGAATAACTTGACTTTTTGACTTTTTTTGACTTAAAAAGTCATTTTTATTTACGTATTTTCCCTGAGAAAATTACCTACAGCAAACAGAAATATTCTTTTCGCCCAAATTTAATTAGGAATGTTATAAAACTTAACTTATAAATAAATTTTTCTTGTTTAGAATAGGCAACATTATTTAGAACTTCCCGTTTAATCTCAAATGATAGTTTAGGTTTTAGTTTTACCTTTTTTTTATCTTAAAAAGAACTTTTCAAAATTAGTACCTAATTAGTAACGATTTAGTTAGTTCGCAATCGATAGCTTCCTGTGAAGTACTGTGTTGTTTAATCTTGTATTATTAATAACTTCCTATACCTAAAATCAATATTTAATGAGAAAATTCTGTTTTTTTTTGAAAATATAAGACAAGATTTGACTTTCGGTCTTCTTCTTGTATTATGATGGCTCTGATACGAGGCAATTGCCTTTTAGTCTCGCAATAGAAGGCATTTATCATTAAAAGTATAAAATCTGTGTGCTACAGTATGGGATTTCTGTCGCATAATAATGAATACCTATTACGTTTATTTACAAATCCATTACTTTTAAAGGTAGCTTCATGAGATAATCAAAATTTAGTTAAATGTCCTAATCTTCATGAACCTTATTAAGCATATGTATTGCGGTTTGAATCACCGTGTATGTAATCAGTATCACCGTACTTATGTAAAAAATTGAAATAAAAATCCCAAACCAAAAACGTAATAGGTAAAAAGCTTTTTTGGAGGCCTGGGTCGCTCTCTTATATAGGTATGTATAAAACAAGTAGCCTAAGAATTATTTACAGTTCGTCCCATTCTAAAAAAAGTTAAACACACCGTACAAATAACTCTAGGAAGATGTATTTGTACGGTGGTAAAAAATTGTCTAAACAAGGCCGAAGGGGCAGATGTAATAAAGCAATAAAATGTAAAATAGGTTGGGTAAACACCTTTGTTTATTTATTGAGCAAAATTCCTTTAGAATATCGTATATAATGACCAAAATAGGACGGAATTTTAAGAAAAAAATGTCACTTTCTGGCTTATAATAAAGTTTCAACTGTAACGTTTATATTCAAATTTGTTATGA